TTGAGTAAATTAATCATTACCATTTATTTAATTTAACATAATTTAGAAAAAGTTATTTCTTTACTTTAATTAAGAGGTCTACTCTAATCAAAGTAAAGTTTTGAATACATTAGATTAGAAAGGTAATAAATGGTTTTATCATTAAATTGCTAATGTTAGATAGAAAAAGGTATAGATGTTAAAATTGTTATTAAACAATTTATACAATGAGATAAAACAGTATTATTTATTATCAATTTAAAGTTTACTCTACCGGTTATTTTTTTATACTGTTTATAGATTATTTGAATAAAACTGTATTTATTAGGTTAGTCAAAATTATAGAATTTACAAATATACAATTACATTAGAAATATTGAATTTACAAGTTTAAGTGGAAGAAAAAATAGTCTATATAATATATTTATTTTTTTAAAAAAAAAATTCTTTTAGCAATTACAATATTTATACATAAATTTATAAAATTAATAATTACTTTTAATTTATGAAATTTTTTATCATTTTATAAATAAATTTTGTATTTTTTTTGTTAAATAAATAAATAGATATATATATTCTTAATTAGCAAAAGAGATAAAAATATATTTAAAATTTTCGGACTATAGGCAAATATGTAATAATTTTTTAAGATTTTCATGAGGCTGTATATTCTTTTCATTAATGAAGTTTGTAGCATTCTCCTTCTTACTTTATATTCTAATTTATATTTTATTTAATTATAAATAAATGTCTAATATTTCTTTTATTTAATTTGTAAATTTTTTGTTACTTTAAATATATAATTATATAGTTTATATAATTTTAATTAATATTTAAAGAAGTTAATGATTAAATTAATTTTGAATTTAGCAGAATGTTTTACTTATACAACTCCTTCTCATTAAATTTCATAATACTGCAAAATATTAATTTAGACATATAATAAATATGGATTAAGTTTAAAATACGATAATTGCGAATGGATGATTTTAAAAAAATCTAAAAAAAATAGTTAATATATATAAAAAAAAAATATTATTAGAACATCAATTTTATAAATTGTCATAAACAAATAAATATAAGTATTTAGGAATAATAATATAAGATAATATGAAGCTTAACGTATGAATGCAAAAAATAAAAGACAATTTTAAAAAACATTAATATTTAAGCCAAAAACATAAATAGGATAATAATATTATTTTAAGTAATATCTATAATGAAACAATTTCATATAATCACAATTTTAATACGCAATTGCGAAAAATATAATGAAAGATTTAGAAGTTAAAAACTTGTAATAAATATCAATTAAATACTCAAAAAACATAACAGATTAACATAATTTAATATAGAAACATGAAAATTAAATAGAAAGTTAAAGATAAATGTTATAATTGAATAATGGGAATAAATAAAACTGTAAAAGGTAAAATGAATATAAAAAAAGAAAAATTTAAAAATACAATAAAAAACTAAAACCTAAAAGATTATATATCTTATTATATTAAATAAAAAACAAGTAATTATTAATAAAATGTAAAGAAAGACACTCATTCAAAAGTCTTATTCATAAACATTAATATCAGTATTTTGAAAATTAAAATTAACATAAAAATATTTACGAATTAATAACAAATAAAAATATTGGTACTTTCTAAAAAATAACAAAATGGATATATAAATACTATAAAAAATAACTGAATATCTAGTAAACAAATACAAGGAAAATAAAAAGTGAAATTAATGAAAAAATAATATTATAAATTAAATTTGTGTATCGATAAATATAATACAAATATAAAGTATATTAAATTAAAATTTGTGAATATTTATTTTCAGTTTTTGACTATTTTTTTAAATAATTATTAAATATATTTTGCCTCTCTTATATATAAGAATTTATTAGATAATATTTCATAAGATATATTTATGCAAAAATATTATATTTTAAATAAAATAAAATTATTATTATTTTGTTTTTGGATTACAAAAAAAATAAATAGAAAATCTCTTGATTTTTTTAACTAATATATTTCTTTTATAAAATCTGTTTAATAAAATATAATTAATCCTTATCTTACGAAGTTAATATATATTGCATTTTAATGAAATCCCAATAAAAAGTATTTAATAATACACCCTTCATAGTGCTTATTTATTATAAATTAAAAAATTAAAGTATTTTGAGCTGTATAAGAAGTAAGCTAAACTCTATTTTTTGTTTGGTAATACATATTTAAATATGAAAAGCTAAATTAAAATATTCTCCTTTTGGAAAAAGTTTTACACATTTATCAATGTAATATTTTATATTACCCTAAGTTAAAAAATTTATTTATAATTTTTGATATTACGGATTAGCTAAACAATATGATCAAATCGATTTTTTATTTGCACATAGGAAAAATTAAAATTTTATAAGAAAAATGCAATAAGTATTTTACTAATTGAGACAATAATTAATTTTTATAATTTATATATATTATTTTTATAAATTCTCAAAAATTAATATTTTATTATATTCTGATTTGCCTTGCACAAAATATTAGCTATATTTTCGTTACATTATATTAGATAATTTGTTTTGAAAAAAATAGCAGTTTCTTCTATATTAATTTTGTTGATTTCTGGATAAAATAATTAGATTTTTTTAAAAAAATTAACGAATTTTTCTTTCTGTGCGTACAACATAAAAATTTAATTAATTATAAATATTTTAAGTTAATTACTTTATTTTTTATTTTTTTTAAAAAAAAAAATTAAATAAAATGTTTATTATAAAATTATTTTTCGATTATTTAATATATTTTTTATTTAAGATTTAATAATAACAATTATAATATTAATAAATCTTCTTGTTATAAATAAAATAAAAATTAACTTTTGCATTTTTTGTTTTGTATTGTTAAAATTTAATAAAATTGCAAGAAGAACATAAATATTAATAAAAATATCTCTTCAAGCAAGAGGTAATTTTCCATTATTTTCTTATTTAAATTGTTCTACATGATTAATATAATTAACAAAATGCTTAACTTTATTCAGAACAGGTAATGTTTCTGCTGAAATAACATACCCAAGATCTTCTTCGATTTACATTGAGAGCTCAATAGAATCGAATTCATCTAATCCATGTTCTGATAATTATGATTCAATATTAACTGCTTATTTGTTTGTTGTCCTGAAGTAATTTTTAACTATTTTGATAACATAAGCTTCGATATCTTCTTTTTTTTAAGAGTTATTTGAGTACGATTTACTATTTGTCCATCTACATATTGAGTAATATCTTTTTTGGATCCTTATTATTTAGAGGATTTAGCAACTTCTTTACTAGCGAATTAAAATTATATATTGCTATTTAATCTAACTTTTTAACTAAAATTAAGAATTTTTCTCAACATATTTTTTTATCGAAATTAATTTTTTTTTTAAATTAATTGTATATTTTTTATTTTCTTAAATAAATAAACATGAAGAAAAATAAAATAAAATACAATCAATTTAAATTAAATAAAAGTATTTTTATTTATTACAAACAAATTTGAAAATCAGTTCTTAATAAAAAATTTTAAGACTGTTTTTTTAATTAAATAAATATTTAAATCTGTTCTCCAGTTAAATCTAAATGGTTTAAATTTTATTTAATATGAAAAAAATATATATTGTATTTCGAAAAAAAAATATTTTACCTCCCCTTACATGTATTTATTTAGCTTAATTAATTTTTTTTATATTTTTCAATTTTAAAAAATACACTTACTATATTTAAAAAGAAGAAATACATTTTTATTAAAAATTTTAATTTTAATATTAATAAATGATAAATTTGCTTTTTGGAATATATATGAAAACATATTAATTTTTTTCAAAAAGTTAAAAATTGTATCTTTGATATTCTTTTATTGATATTATATTTATTATAATTAAAAGTAAATAAAATTACAAAATTATATAAATTACAGGTTAAGATAAAGTTTATTTTTAAATTAATTAAGTAGATTTTTATGACGGATTTTTTTTTTGTAAAAAAAAGATTTAGATAAATTGTTTAAAATATATAAACTGTATAAGAACTATTTCCGAAAATAAAATAAAAATAAAAATAATGAAAGGAATCAATTCTTAAAATTTACAAATGTATAAAAAACATATCTACAGTTCTAAATATTTATAAAAATCGAATTTAATATTTAAATTTTTTTAAAACTCAATTGAATTGATTCCAAAAATTTTTAAAAGCATTTGCTAAAAATGTTCAAAATTTAAAATAATGCGAATATAATAATTATAATATATTGGTTTTCTCTTAGATAAAATTTTTATGTACTTTCATTAATAGATAACTGAATATAAATAATTAACAGATGAATTTATTAATTAAACCAATAAAAATAAATTTAAATACAATATTTACATAAATAAATAAATATAAAAAAATAAAATTTATACCTTAAAGTCCCATTAATTAAGACTTTTATAGATTAATATTTTTATGCTTTATATTTTTTTAATTTAGACTTTTTAAAATTAGAAAAAAACACATATTGAAAAACCGTTTAGTAAAAATAAGTATTCTAAAATTTTATTTTCCAAGCAATTTATTTTAGAGATAATTTTTATATTGTATTACATTTTATCTAAAAATAAAAAAAATCAAATTCTTATATTTTCTTTAATTTCATAATTTATAAATATAGTAAAAATTAATATATTAATTTTTAAGCTTAAATTAAAAAAAAAATTATGATTAAGAGCTTTATAAGAAATAAGTTAAAACCTTAATAATGGTTTTTAGAAAAAGTAATAAGTTTTTTCAAATCAATTTTAAATAAAGTAGAAGTAGAGGAGGATACAAAATCAATAATAGTTTATAATATATATTTATATATTCGATCAAAAAAAAAAAGTCGAGAAAAATGGATAAAGGCATTTTTTGTTTGTTTGTTAAGTTAAAAAAATAAATACAGAAAAAATAAAAAAACGAATATGAAGCAAAAAGTATATACAATTAAAAATCATTTATCTTTTTTAATTAAAGATTCAACGAATTCAGTTTCCAAATCATTTTCTTAAACATCCTCAATATCATAGCTCATACCTTAAATTTAAGGCAATTTAATATTTGAATTAACCGGAGTTTCATAAATAGGTCTAGGTCTATTGACTTTAGCTATTTTTTCAATATTAGTGTATGAAAGAAGAGGAGAATTAACGTTTAATTAGTAAAGATTATCCCAATTAATATCATAAAAAAATCTATGACTTTTAATATCATCAAAAGATTAAGCACCTAATCTTTGAAATGGATTTGTTTAAAGAAAGCTTTGTATCAATTCTTTTAAATAAGGAGAAAAATAATCAGGAAAAACAGGTTTATTTTCAATAATTAATTACGTAATTTTATCAAAATTTCTATTTAAATCTTAAAAGGGTGGATAACCAGCAATTAATTCAAATAAAAATATGCCTAAACACCAAAAATCGACATTTTTATTATGACCTTTACCTAATACTATTTCTGGAGCTAAATATTCAGCAGTCCCAGCAAAAGTATAAGTCAATTAATCCTACAAATCACGTTCTTTACATAGCCCAAAGTCAATAATTTTAGCATGACCTTATTTAGATAATAATACATTTTCAGGTTTAATATCCCTATAAATAATTTTGGCGGTTTCATGCAAATATTAAATAGCTAAAATAATTTCTGCAATTATAAACTTGGCTATTTTTTCCGGAAACTATCCTAAATATTTTAGTAAATTATATAATTCCCCTCCTTCTAAATATTCCATAATTAAATAAACTTTTTTTTCGGTTTAAATACAATATTTTAATTAAACTATAAATGGATTATTACAATTTATTAATATATTTTTTTCCAACATTGTACTTTCTATTAAATCCTAATTAACCATATCTATTTTTTTTATTGTTTTCATTGCGTATTTATGTTAAGAACTCTTTTTTGTAACTAAATATACTACTCCAAACCCGCCTTTGCCTAAAGGCTTTTCGATTACAAAATCTTAAATTGTTACTTGTTTTCTTTTTCTATCACTACCATTTGAACTATTAGATTTTCGTAAACTTTACTTTTAAAAATTATCTGATTATTATTAGCTTTCTTACTAACTTTCTTATTAGCAGGTACTTACTATTAAACGTATTTATGGATTTTATTATGTTAAATCTGGATTTTTTTATACAAACAATGAAGATCGATTTTCATTTATAAAACTAGGTTTGGTATTTTTTTCGCATATGTTTCCCATTTTTTTTATATTTATGTTTTTTTTTTAAGTGTTTAATTAGAAAACTTTTAATTTTTTTTTTCTTTGCTTTTATTTTGTGGTAAGGTAATTTATTTTGCTTGTTTACTTTAAAAAATTAATAAATAATATTTTGAAAAATTACATATATTTTTTATTTTTTAAAGATAATAAAATTATTTGATTTTTTAATAAATTTTACAATTAAAAAATATGTTTTCAAATCTTTATTTTTTTATAAACGAAAAAATAAATATAATTTAAATTTATTTCATATTTATAAAGCATGTATTGATAAAAAAAAAGTAAATAAAATATATTTGACTTTTTTATTTTTTTTTTAGAAAAAAAAAAAATAATAATAATAAAAAAAAAATTATATCAAAAGCAAAATAAAAATATTCATATATAAATAAAAATTAAATTAATAAAAAATGTCGTAATAAATTACTCCAAGTCGTATGACATTAGCTCTTTTTAAATAAAAAACAATATCAGCTCGTAAAGGTCATGAACTATTGAAAAAGAAATGTGATTGCTTAAAGACCAGATTTCGTTCAATAATGGTTGCATTATTAGATAATAAGATGAAGATGGATGAAGAAATGTAAAAAGCTTTTCTCTTATTTGCTGAAGCTTAATGGGCAGCTGGATAATTTAACTCAATAGTAAAAGATTCAATAAAAAAAGCTTTTATAAGAGTAGATATAAGTACAGAAAACATAGCAGGTGTAATGCTTCCTAATCTTAATTTGAAAGAATTGGAAGATTCTGAAGGAAACTTAAGTCAATTAGGTTTAGATAAAGGGGGTTTAGCAATTTAAAGAACTAGATAAAAATTCAAAGAATGCTTATATTTACTTGTTAAAGTAGCTTCACTTTAAACCAGTTTTGTTACCCTTGATGAAGTTATTAAAGTTACTAATAGAAGAGTAAATGCATTAGAACATGTTGTTATTCCCGAATACATGCGTATTTAAGTTTACATTAATTAAGAATTAGACGAAATGGCAAGAGAAGATTTATTTAGAATCAAAAAAGTTCTCGATAATAAAAGGAAAGTTATAGCTGAAGAAGATGCTGAAGTTGCTAAGTATGAAGCTATGATGGCAGCTAAAGGTGTCAAAGCTTAAGGTGGAGGAAATTTAATTGATTAAGACGATAAAATTTAAGATGAAGATATCGTTTTTTGACGATTTTATTAATATTTTTTTTTTAAACAAAAAAATAATATGCATTAAAAAAATTGTTTTTGGACAAAAAAGCATTCCATTATAAATATATATTTATGCTTATTATTATTATCATCATTTTTACTAAATATTTTTTAATTATCTTATTTTTATATTTTATTTTCAAATTATATAATTTATTCAAAATATACAAAGTATTAATAATTAATTAACTAAAATGGTTAAAAATGTTAAAATATTATTTATTTTAATAGATGGTATAGGTGATATTGGTATAAATGAAAAGCAAAAAAAAACACCTCTTCAAACAGCCAATATTCCTACATTTGATGCATTAGCAAAGTCAGGTTTTATATAGTTTTTAAAAAAATATTATTATACATATTAAAAATAAAGGAATAAATGGATTAATGGATCCAGTTGAAACGGGTTTAGCATGTGGCTCAGATACAGCTCATATGAACATATTCGGATATATTCCATTTGAATTATATAGAGGAAGAGGAGCTTTTGAAAGCATTGGAGCAGGTTTAGATATGGATTATTCTGAAATAGCTTTTAAGTGTAACTTTTCCAATATGGATCCTGAAACAAAAGTAGTAAAAAAAGAAGAGTTGATAGGGATTTTGATAAATGGGGACTTGAATTAATAGATACAATAAATGGTTTAAGAGTTCCTGGTTTTCCTGATCATTTTATTAAAGTATAACATGCAACAGAACATAGGTGTGGAGTTATTCTTTCTGGGCCAGGCCTCACAGACAAAATTACAGGCACAGATCCACTTAAGGATAATTTAGTCTTAAGAAAAGTGGTAGGAACAAATTAAGAAGGTAACTACACTGCCCAAATAGTTAATTCTTTAAGTGATGAAATACATAGAGTTCTTGAAAATCATCCTTTAAATAAAGAAAGGGCTAAAAAAGGGCTTGTTAAAGCAAACATTGTATTATTAAGGGGTGCAGGAATGAAACTAAGTATTTATTTTTTAACAAATAAAAACTCAGTTTTTTATAGAAGTAGAAACATTTGAGGATAAACATAAAATTAAACCATTTATGATAGCACCAACAGCAATAATAAATGGTTTAGGATAAACTTTAGGGATGAAAATAGTTAAAGCAGAAGGTGCTACAGGTGATTATCATTCAAATTTCAAAAGCAAATTTTAAACTGCATTTTAATTCTTTTAATAAAATCCTTAGTTTAATTTTGGATTTCTACATGTTAAAGCTGTTGATGACTGCGGACATGATAAGGATTTGGAAGGAAAAATTAAATATTTAGAAATTATTGATTAATGTTTAAATGATTTTTTGTAAAATGCTTAATCTAATAATTTGGCATAATAGGAATATATAATCTGCCTTACCGGAGATCACACTACTCCAGTTCAAGTAGGAGATCATTCTTTCGAGCCAGTTCCTGTGGCTATTTCTTCAAGTTCTTCTACAATTAATTTATTAAAAAAAGATAATAACAGTTAAAAAAATTTATTTAATGACTAAGTTCAATAATATGATGAAGTAAGTGCATGCAAAGGTGTTTTAGGAAGATTTGTAGGAAGTTAATTAATAGAAATTTTATTAAAACTTAGAAATCATTTATTATTATAAAAATGAATTAAGATTTTATAAGATAATAATATTTATAATAGGATTATATATTATTATAAACGAATTAAAAAATCAATTTAAATATTTTTATAAAAAAATTTCTTAAATTATAGGTAATTTATAATTGGAACATACTTTTTTATCTAAATAAGTAAAAATAAAATAAATAAATTAAAATGTCTGCAAGGTTAAAAAAAAATGATTTACTCATAATTTTATATTAATTATGTTTCATTTATTTAATTTTCTAAATTAAATATATTATTTATTTTATTCAAAAAACTTTTATCAAATGTACTATCTTATATATATAAATGATCTTTCAATTAAAATATTAAGTAAATTATCATATTAAAAAAAAAGCTGAGTATATTTAATTTTTATATAGTTCATTTAAATATTATAATACATTAATCGTAATCCAAAAATTTTTTTTTTAAAGCTTAGTACAATCATAGATTATATTTCCATATATAAGTAAAAATTTACAGAATTAATTCAAATTTAAATATTTTCTTATTAGAATTCAATTTAAATATCTTTTTTTTACTCAGATATAAAAAATATATTAAACTAAATTATTCAATAATTATTTATAAAACTAATTATGTTTTTTTATTAAGTTTATGCAATTTTATATTTTATATTATTTTAAAATCCTTTTCTCGATAAAAAATTTAAATAGAGAAATCAAAAATGTTTCACATTTTTGTCTGATTCTTTTTTAACTAAAAATTAATTTAATTTTATTATTACTTTTTTAAACTTGTTTAAAATATATTAAAAACTAGTTTTCTTATAATTTATTTAAAAATAATTTTTATTTGAAGTTTATTTTTAAAAATCAATTAAAAATCATAACATTTTAATTAAGTTAAGAACATTTATTTTCTATTCCTTCTATAACTATAGTTTATTTATAAATTTCATCATAGTTAGTTTCTATTTTTTTCTATAATCTACTATATTTCGCTTAATGAATATACTTTCTAGTTTTTTTGTAAGTTCATTTATTTTTTTGCTATACATATTTTATATTTATGAAAAAGCAAGCTGAAAACCAAACTTAAAGAATAAAAATTATTTTTAATTAAACTAATATAGTTTTCCATATGATATATTTTACTCTAAATTTTAATTTTAAAAATTATTTAATATATATTTTTAGAAATAATACTATTATTTTTGTTTATTATCATTTCTAATTGATTTCTCATTAAAAAAAAAATAATAGTTAAAATACTTTTGTTACCCTTATTATATTTACTTTATTATTTTTTAAAAATAAGCCAAAACGATTACTTTATTAATTAGTATTATCGAATAATTTAATAAATATTAATTTATTTACTTATTCTACATAAGTATTAAAAAATATAAAAATTTCACATATAAATAATTTTAACAATATTCATTTTAAAGTCAATGCAAAATAAAAAGATATAAATATTTGATAAAAAAAATATAGAAATCAAAAAACAAAATAAATAAATTATATACTAAAAAATCAATTATAAGAAAACAAAATAAATGTATTTTAGAAAATGGACGCGTATGGAATGGTGGGATTCCATAAGATATTTTAAAAAATATAATCTCCTAGATTACAAAGAAGAACATCGTCATTTCCATTTATTTCCTCCAATTTGGACATAATATTTGCCTACAAGATAAACTTTAAGAAAACCTTTTTAAGAGGATAAAGATCTAAAGTTATAGAAGAATTTAATAAAGATTTTATTTGATAGATACCCAGAATTAAGATATGATACAAGTGGAAGAGAATCCTTAATTCATAATAATATGGAAACATAATATAGCTATAGTACTCGTTTTATTTTAAAATAATAGGAATTGATGAAAAATGGATTAACTTAAGAATAAGCGTTCAAAAAAACAGAAGTAATGTTTTAAGACAGAATTTAAAGAAAAGTTGACCAAAATAATTTAACTAGAGGGTTAGCAGTTAATAATAGAGCAAGATCTTTTATGAACTATTATTAATAATAAGCAGAAAAAGAATCTAGATTAAAGGTATTGAGAATGAAAAGAGACTTAAAATAATATTAATAATAAATGCATGATTTCGAATAAATATAATAAGATGATGGAGGTATTTACAACAACAAAAATATAATTAAAAAATAAATATATAAAAATAGATAATGAATAAGATTATTTAGAAACATAAGAAAATATTTATAATCGTGTACTTTTCAAACTACAAAATTAAGGTCATAAAACAACAGAAGCAAAAGAAGAAGAAAGAAAGCTAAGCAATTCAAAGGAATTCATAGAAAGAAATGAAAATATGTTTAAAGTGTATTATTAAAGAGCTGCTATTTACGACCGTCTTTAAGGTCTATCAGATTAATAAATACAAGAAGAAGTTAGAAATTCTCCTACTAAAATGAAAAACAGGGTAAGAAAATTAATTAAAAAATTAGAAAAGTTAAATGTAGTATTAAGGCCTGATGGTACAGTAGACTTTTCTTAAGTAAAAAATGAAAATTTGCGTGCTAAATTATAAGAAAATTTATACGTAAAATATGCTTTGATGTAGAAAGATTTAGAATTCGAGTTTCCTCATAAAGAGCATTAAATGGATTAAGCATTAGTATTAAAAAAACAATTAGAAAAAGTCAGATAATAATAAGAAAATTATACTAGAGATATAATTTAAATAGCTGGTTCACCTTTTAAAATGATTTAATAAATTCAAAGTTATGAAAATACTCATGATAGTACTGAAGAATTAGCTCAAAAATAAAAAGAATAATAAAGATTAGGTACTATTCAATTAGAACAAAACTATTTACAGTCTCTTTCTAAACCTCTATATGAATCTTAGGGTACTTATAAACTTTTTGAAACATATGAAGAAAGAATGCTTAGAATTGAAGAAAAGTGGTTAAGAAAATAATTAAAGAATTAAGATAAAATAGGTTTTTTTTATACAATAAATTTTTATTTCTCATTATATAAATAAATTTATCTATATTAAAAAAAAAAATAATAGATGATGATAAAGAAAATAGATTAATTGAAATTATAGATAGATTACGAAGATTAAAATATAAAATTGATTAACAAAGTTATAAAAATGCAAAGTAATTAATTTTTGAAGAACATGAAGTTTTTGGAGAAGATTTATTATAAGATGAGAAACATTCCTATGAAGATTTAAGAAATTATCTTTATTAAACTTAAGAAGAACGTAGGAAGTCAGACTTAGATATTTAAAATGATAACAAAATAAATGAAATGATTTAAATTAATGAATTTTATGAAGATTTATCAAATCCCTATGACAAAGCTTATTTATCAAAAATCAATCTTAAAGACACTATAGAATTTAAAAAAAGTAAAGAATAAAAAATATAAGAATTACGATTCATTAAAGAAAGCTAAGAAGGTTTAGAAGAAGATTAACAAAACGCTCTTGATTAATTAGAAGATAGCTAAGAAAACGATGAAGGTCTTATGACTATGCAAGAATATGAAAAAGGCTTAGAAATGGATTCTATTAAAATAAATAAGAAAGATTCTGAATAATTAGTTGATGAATCTAAGTAAAATAATGAAAAGAGAAAAATTGTAGATTTTATTAATAAAGCTAATAGAGAAAAAAAAACTAAGTCCAAGACTAAAGTAGAATGATTTTTATAAAAAACAATTAGAATATATCTAATTGTTTTTTATATTTTTTTTTTAAAAAAAAATTATTTATTATTAAATTAGCTATATTTTATTATGTTTTAGAATATATAAAATATACATATTTAAAATCATTAATAAAATATAAAAATTTATATTATAATAAAATGTAATATTGTTTTTTTAAATAAAAAATTATTATAGATATTAAATGATACATAAATATTAACTTTTATTTTTATATATTTTATATTATAATTTTATTAAAGTATAATAATTTGCAAATTTAAAAAAAAAATTATTTTAAATAATATTTAATTACTTATTCTTTATATGTTAAATATTTAGATAGTATATAAAAAATAACTATTACATAAACATTATATGATTGAATATGAATTAAATAAAGATTTTTCAGTGAAAATAATATGTTTTAAAATTTTAATTTACAAAGAAAGTAAATAAAATTAAAATATTTTTTTTTATTTTAAATATAATTAAAAATACTAATTAACATAATTTTATATTGATTTTTAACGAAATTTTATTTGTAAAAAAATTCATAAAATTAATAATGTTATTTTCTAAATAAATAAATTTATTAAAAATGAAAATTTTATACATTTTTAATATTATCTATAAATAATAGTGAAGAATTATAAAAAATATAAGAAATATCAAATTATAGAAATATACATATCATATACACAAAAAAATTTAAAGAGGAATATATTATTATAATTGTAAAAATATCAGAGAATATAGCTAAACATGCTTTATAAATAAAAATAAAAATAAATATTGATAAAAATATTTTTTATCAATCAAAATATATATATAAAAAAAAAATAATTAGAAAACCAAGAAAAAATTATCTATTTTTTTATCCTTGAACAATTTCTTAAAAATATTTCATTTTATTTTGTACTATATCAGATTATATAATATATAGACTGTAGAATTCAATTATGTTTTTTATTTATTAATTTTTTTTTGCTTCTTTATTTAAAATTTATATATTAAGTTTATATTAACTAAATATAAAATGCTAATTAAACTAGCATATAAACTATTAAAAATTTCGTAGATCTTATAGAATCAAATTAAAATTATGTTTACAATAATTTAAATAAAAAGAAAAATAAAATTGATATTTTTTGCTTAAATAATTATTTTAGATATTTTTATAAATAATTATATAAAAATAAAAGGAAATATTTTAAAAGTATATATTGAATAAAATAAAATTCGACTTGTAAGATAAAATATAAAAATTTTTAAAAGTATATTTATAAAAAAACTATAAATTAGTAAGCAAATATGATAAATATTTATGATATAATTTTAAAGATTTTCAAAATAAAATATAAAAAAATATTAACTTAATATATTATACTAATAAAAACAAAAAACAAAAAAATAAAAAAATAAAAAAAAAAAAAAATATAATATAATATAATATAAGTAAAAAATAACTTTAAAATAAAAATAAAAAGTAAATTATATTTTAAAAATATTTAAATATAAAATATTAATAAAAAATAAAAATAAATTATAAAAAATTAAAAAAAAAAAAAAAATATATATATATAGATAAAAATTGTTTTGATTTAATAAAAAAAAAAAATTATAAAATTCTATTATTTAATTTATATATTATTAAAAATATGTATATATACATATATATATATATATATATATTTATATATATAAATAATAGTTTAATAATGAATTTATGGGATTTAATAAATTTTTTTTTTTTTAAAATTAAATATATAAAAATAAAAAATAATTTAAATTTAATTTATAATTTAAAATTTGTTAAAAGTTTATAATTATAAATATATTATAATATATAAAATAAAAATATACATATAAATATAATATAAAATTAAATTTAAAATAATATTTTCTATATATAGAAATTTTATGACTAAGAAAATGACAAATATATAGAAAAAATTTTAATTAAAAAATTAATAATTAATAAAAAGTTTTAAATATTAATAAAATTCGCAAAATATACAAGAAAAAAAGTTAAATTTAATATAAAATTATATATGCTGAATAAAAAATTATAATTATATAATTTAAAATCTATTTAAAATATTTTTACAAAAATTATTTGTGCAATATTTTTTTTAGATCATTGTTATTTTTAATTATTAAATAATAAAAAAATTTAAATAATAAAAAAAATTTATATTTATTAAAATTTTAATTAAATATATTATTTCTATTTAAATATTTTAATAATAAGTAAATATCAAGTCTTAATGAGCAAGAGCATAAACATTTCATCATCATCCTAGAGCATCTTATAGTACCAATAATATACATATATATATATATACATAAATAGATTAATGTTTAATATATATATATATTTACTCATATTTATTTTACTTTTACTTAATAAAAGTAATGAATAATAATAGAAGCCAAACTAATCATAATAGTTGTCATTATAAAATAATAATAATTATGCATCTCCTTAATTTAGTAAAAATAATTCAAATTCTAGCCTGAACTAAAATCAAAATGGATATAAAAAGTAATCATAAATTTCCTAGATTACATAAAATAATAATTTACAATACCCAATTATGATTCCCACAGATTAATTCTAAATTTAAAAAAATTTAGTGCAATAATAATCAAATTTAAACGAAGCAAACACAATTAATCAATTAAAAATATAAATAGAAGTTTTATAAGCAAAGTACGATGACACTTTAGATAGATTAGCTTAATAAGAAAAATGTATTTTTGATAAATAAAGTTGCGTTATTTAAGAAAATTAGAATTAAGATAATAATGAAATTTAATAACTTAAATAGTAATTATATTTATGTAAATAAACTTTGGATAAAGAAAAGGAAAGATCACTATTGGTTATTTTAAAATTAGAAAAAGATTTAGAATACTATTAGAATGGAGAAGAGTTAAAAAAACTAAACTCTATTATATTTTCGTTATAAGAAAAATTAAATTAATATTAATAGTCTGAACAATGTTAATAAAAAAAAAATATATATAATTATTTAATTTCAAATATTTAGTAAGTTCTATATTAAGTTTAGAAAAAATGGATACGGAAAACGTTGTAAAATAATTACGAATTTAAAATTAATAATTAAGTGAACAAATAAATAATTAATCATAAAATTCGGAAGAATAAAAAGATAAAAAAACAATTGAAAACTAAATTTTATTATAATAAAATTATGAATAAGAAATTAATTTAAAAAATTAAATAATTTAAAATTTAGAAATATAATTAAGATAATTAAATTTACAAATTTAATAACTCTAAAAAGAAAAGAAAAGCTAAGAATATGTATTCGTACAAAAAAAATATTAATTTGAATCTGAAAAGAAAAAATTTTAGGATTAAGTATAAATATAAAACAATCTTTTTTATTTTGAATATAAATAATTATATTTTTATTTCAAAAATAAGTAAACAGATATAGATTCAGTCGAGTAATAAAGAAACGATCTAAAAAAAATATTAAGATTTAATAATTTAATCATAAAAAGATATAGATAGCATTCGTTAAGAATTTGATTAAAAGAGCAAAATATAAGAAGAAAAAATTATTAATTATAAACATTATATGAAAAAATATTAATTAAATAAATGAAACTGTTAAGTAAAAAGATTCCTAAATATCTTAACTAAATTAATAATTACTTTAATTTTAAATTAGATTAAATTAAGATATTAAAGAAGTATTTTTTTATATAAATGATAATATATATTATATAAATAGCATTAAAATGATAAGGATAATGAACTGTAAATTTTATAAGAAAAAATATAACTTTTAACTTAAGAAATAACTAAATAATAGTATAATAACGAAAATTTATAAAAAATGCTTAAGGAAAGTGATTTTAAGTTAGTAAATTAAAATCAGGAACTTAAATAAGTTAACCTTTTAATTGAAAATTTGAAAAAAGAATATGAATATAAACTTAAGTAATAAATAAAATTGAATTAAATAAACAATAATAATGAAATACAAGAATAAAATTATCAAAAAGAATAAAAAATTTAATAACTGAAAAATGAAAATGATAATTTAAAAAATTAAAACCTGTAAAAAGAAAATGAAATCAACTTTTTGAATAAAGATATTGAAAATCTTAAATTATAAATAGATAATTTTTAAAATGAAGCAAATATTAAAAAATAAAAAATTGAATTTTTAGTTGATGAAAATGAAAATTTAAAAACTTAAAAAAATGATTTCGAATAGTAAAATTTCTCTTTACTGTAATCTTCTTAACAATTAAATAATAGAATTTCAGAAATTAAACAAATAGAAAATATCAAAAATGAATTAGAATAAATAAATGGTAAATTATTAATTGAAATAGAAAATCTGAAAGAAGAAAATAAAAAAAAAAATCATTAAATAAATGAAGCTTAGTAAAGTTTAGCCCATTTGAATGAAGAAAATGATCTAAAAATGTTTAAATTAGATTAGATAAAAATGTAATTGCAATAAAAGGAAAATTAATTATTAAAATATGAAGAATTATAATAATAAAATTACAAAAAACTACAAGAAGAATTCGAATAAAAATTAAAAAAGTAAAAAAACGAGCTAAACGAAAATTTTAATCTTTATATGTAAGAAAGCTAAAAAAAATTTAAAGAAATAAATATTCAATAAGAAAAAAATTTAAAAAAATTAGAAGAAGAAAAAGATAATGAGATTAAAATTCTAAACAAAAAAATACTTAAAATTTAAAATGAAAATTAAGAAAAAGATTAACTTAATGATATTTAATTAAAAAATATAAACCAAATTAATATATAACTAAATAATTAATATTAAGAATTAATTAACCAACATTAAATTAATATTAATTTCCTCAAAGTTGAATTGTAAGAAGATATATCAAATAAATAAGTACTTATTGATAATCTCGAAAAATAAATTTTTTACTAAAAGGAAGAAATTTTAATTTTGAAAGAAAAAATAGATAAC